TGCTTATTGGATGTGGAGCCCCCCTATGTGGCCAGACTGTAAAAAAGTCTCACACATTTGGTATCGCCATATTCAGAAAGAGTTATAGAATGTGTTTTGGGGTGTAATTTTAAGTATGCCTATGCTGTGTAATAGATATATCTCATAGACTGGCAACTTTGCATAGAAAAAAATACATTTTCATCTTCTTTTCACATTTTCCAAAAACGTTTGGCAAAAAATGAAGTCTTCAGAAGACTCCCCATGCCTCTTAAAACATACCTTGGGGTGTTTTCTTTCCAAAATGGGGTCATTTTGTGGGTAATTCCTTTGTCCTGGTGCTCCAGGACCTCCAAAACTGTGATAGACAGTCAAGAAATTAGATGTGTAATTTTTGCCCCTAGAACGCCTAAGGGTGCTTATTGGATGTGGGGCCCTTCTATGTGGCTAGGCTGTGAAAAAGTTTCACACATTTGGTATCACCATACTCAGGAAGAGTAGCAGAATGTGTTTTGGGGTGTAACTGCAAGTATGCCTATGCCGTGTGAGAGAAAGAACTTGTTAAAATGACAACTTTGTGAAAAAAAAAATTAAAATTATTTACTTTCATCATTTCCCCTTAAAAAATTGGCAAAAAATTACAACTTCAAAAAACTCTCCTTGCCTCTCATTAAATACCTCAGACTGTCTACTTTCCAAAAAGGGGTCATTTGGGGGGTATTTGTATTATCCTGCTATTTTAGGGCCCTGAGAAACTATATAGGTAGTCAGTACATCAGGATTGATAAATTTTCAAATATATCAAAATATATATACCGTGGTCTGTGGACTCTATAACTTTAATACAGACTAAATAATACACACTGATTTGGGTTATTTCTACCAAACAAAGGTAGCACAATGGATTTTGGCCTAAATTAATGAAGAAAGTATATTTATTTGCAAAATCTAGTAACAAAAACGAAGAAAAACATGTTTATTTTCAAAATTTTCAGTCTTTTTCCACTTTTCTAGAAAAAAATAAAACCCCCAGTGGTGATTAAATACCACCAAATGAAAGCTCTATTTGTGTGAAAAAAATGATAAAAATTTCATTTGGATACAGTGTCGTATGCCTGAGTAACTGGCATTCACAATGTGAGAGCACTGAAAGCTGAAAATTAGCCTGGTCAGGAACCTATGATCAGCAGTTTATCTTCAGATGGCTATCAGTGTTTTGTCCAGGGGCTCCACTAAACTCCAGTTAATTTCTCTAGATTCTTCTTCAATACTATTTTCTAATCATCCAATTCCACTCCTGTTTTTTCAGTATTCAAATGAATTAAACTCACTGAATTCTTATCTCATATCTGGCCTGAGCTTTCTGCTTTGTTACTTGCTTTGGTCTTTGGTTTATTCTACTATCCTCCTCTACCTTCAGCTTACCATGTGCTCAGAATTTTTTCTCCATGTGCTAATTGCTCCCCTTCTCTTAGCCTGCTCCAATGTTCCTGTTTTTGTTCGCTTTTCCAGGAGCCCATGCTCCTCTTCTACAGACCTCACTCTCTCCTGAAGGTCCTGTGCAAATCTCCTTCAGCCCCTACTCTTTATTTAGGCCCCCAATCAGTCCTACACTGTGACTTATAGCTACTGCATCCTTCTCCGCCATTACTGATCCCTGTAGCTTCTTCTTTCATCTTCCTTAAGTATCCAACTTTATAGTCACTGATCTTCATTTCCTTGTGCCATATCCACCTCCACCAACACTGTTCTCTGATGCATCCTGTCCCATCTCACTTCAGTGTAAATGGTCCCCACTGCTTGCTATTCCATCCCACTTCTGAGTCACTGATCACCACTACCTTTTTTTCCATCTTGCTGTATTGTTACTGGTATCTATTGCCTCCCATTCCATCACTTTCCAATGTTACTACTTCCTGCTGTTTCCTGTTTCTTTTTTCTTCATTATCCCTGACCCCCATTTCTTTCTGTCCCATCTTGCTCCAGCGTGACTAATCCTACCTTAAAAGTTAAAAATGACGCCATGGACCAACATATAGCAATTGCCCTATCATCTGATAAGGAGTGTATGTCACCACATCGTTGACGTAGCTGATGTCATCACCGAGATGGCGATGTCAGCTAGTACATTGTGCACTACGGTCTGAGGAGCCTTCATCATCCACAGCCACTGAAAGCTGAAGGTCGGTACGCTTCCCTGTGACCCCTCTAAGGGCAAGACGCTCTAAGTGACTGCCATAACGTGGAGAGGAGAAGAGACTCTATGCCCTGGATGGAATGACGGCCGTTATGGTGCTCTGAAGTGGGATGGGTGAGCCTAGATGACACGCACATGCTTATTACTATATCGTATGGCCACCTGAACCTTTCCCACAGTGAGCTCACTATCACAGGGAAGAGCAGCCCTATCTCAGTGACAGCTCAATTGCTACTTTGATGTTCACTAGACTGGATTGTGCAAAAGAACTTTCACACACACTTAGTGTGTGGTCCTTCACTCAATTCTTATACATGTTTACAACTAGACGTAGGGCTACCTACACAGCACTCATACCTTCAGATAGCTGAGGTTGCATTTATGACATGGATCTATTGCCCCATAGTGGTGATTTTTTTGTGGACTTTAGTCCCCCTTGCCTATTACCATTAGTTTATCCAGATTGTGTGGATGAGTATGATGTTCGTGTGCTGGCTGTACAGTCCTCTGCTTTGACTAGACAACGTTGGGTTTTTTTTACTTTTTATATGGTGTGATGGTAATCTTCTGCTCTTTTTGGTTTTTGTGTATTTTTTGATTGTAATAAAGCCTGTTTCTTTGTATAAGCGTTTGATCCGCCTTGTAACCTCCTTTCAGGCTTTCCTTAGCCCTAGTTGTCTGCTGACTAATCCTACTTACCTGCTTTTCCATCTCTGCTGCAAACCCTCCCTTTTCATTTCACCATCTCTAATCCTGTTTCCCTGGCCACCTTTCCTACTCCAGCATCACTCCCCTCTTCCTCCTGTCCCATGTGGATCCACCTTCACCAATTCAAAAGTGTGTCTATTTCGATAGAGGAGATATTGGCAAGTTTTTAGTGCCATACAAATATCCTTTTGCTAGTTTTATGCAAAATTTGCAGTCGAATAGTATAAATAAAATGACCATTTAAAATTTCTTGCTTGATATATAGGGTAAAGATATTCAGATCTGGCTATAGTGCTCCCTTCTTTAAAGTTACACCTCTGTGTAGCATTCAAAACGTTTGGAAGGTATTGGAAGGTATTGTAACAAAAATATGTTCTTTTACTGTTAACTCCTAGACAAAAAAACCCAAATCCATAAAATCTTCTGCTGGGTTCAGGCTGATGTATTCTCCATTTGTATTATATTCCAATAGCATTTTCCTAATTCATTTGCTGAAGGAGGAAATAACAGATTGGGACTTGGTTATATTTTTATTATAATAAATCTGTTTCCAAATTATAAACTATCCCAGCAGAAATATTAGCGCACAAATTTACTTATAAGCCTAGCTGAATGAATTGTGATTTGATACTAGCTTAATCCAACAGGTTATTACCAGAAACAGAGAAAGAACTGGGCATTAAGACCAGAAAATCACAGCTAATTAATCTGCTCCAGCAATCATTGTACAGCACTGGAAGGGAATCGAAAAATTAAATATTAATCTTCAAAACTGGCAGGGAAAATAATCACAATTTATCACTATTAGTAATTCTGTCAGAAAAGCAAGGTTAGTGATCCAAAACTGTGGAGCAATGGCCCAAGGGGAGATATTGAAACAGAGCAGCACATATAATATTGAATCCCGATCTTATAACTTTTCCCCGTCTACTGTCATTTCTTATAAATACAGACTGGTCATATATGGTCAGATCTTGAGACAAAGATATAAGAATTGCGAGTTCTTGTGATGTTCATGAGGATTATGTGTTCAACTACATACCAAGTTCACCAACCAACCTAAATGTCTATAACTCCAGAAAGATGGGTTAGGGAGAGAGAAATATGTAATAGAGAAGATGAGGTAAAATGGAATACACCTCTAAGAACCCGGTAAATGTAGTAATCAGATCTCAATGTGATTATCCACAGATGAATTGCTTAGTATTGTATCTATGTATTTTTATAGAACCTGTTATTTCTAAATATATTGGCACTTCAGATAATCTTAAATGTCTACAATGCTAGTGCTATGCCAATGATTAAATTAAGGTTTGCTTTGCATATTTTTTTTGCCAAACATTCTCATTTTGTATTGCATGTTAGTGTTTTCTGAAGTGTGGGACATGTCCTCAGTGCAGGTGGTACGCAGATCAGAGACAACAATAACAATGATGAACATCTGCCTACTATGACAATATGCAACAGTGACAGCTGTCTTCCTTAGTATTGATGGGATTCACTGGCCATGTTAAAGAGGGTTTCTTGATTTAATGCTGTTTTAGCCATGGACATTTTCAGGGACATATAGAGAAAAGCAAAACACTGATATAAAAGCAGAAATGTTTTATTGTTTAACAACATTATTCACTAGCCTACAAGGCACTTATACCCCCTTCTTGCCCAGGCCACTTTCCAGCTTTCAGCGCTGTCACACTTTGAATGACAATACAACACTGTACCCATATGAAATTTTTATCATTTTTTTGTGACAGATAGAGCTTTATTTTGGTGTTATTTAATCACCTCTGGGTTTTTTATTTTTTCTTAAACAAACCAAAAACCACTAAAAATTTTGAAACAAAAAATGTTTTTTCTTAGTTTTTGTTATAAAATTTTGTAAATAAGTGATTTTTTTCTCCTTCACTGATGTGCGCTAATGAGGCTGCACTGATGGACACTGATAGATGGCACTGATGGGCACTGATGAGGAGGCACGCGTAGGTGGCACTGATGGGCATTGACAGGCATCACTGATGGGCATGGAAAGGCAGCACTGATATTTGGCACTGATATTTGGCACTGATAGGCGGCACTGACTGGCATTGTTAGGTGGCACTGACAGGCAGCACTGACTGGCACTGATAGACGGCACTGACTGGCACTGATAGGTGGCACTGATTGGCAGCACTGATAGGTGGCACTGATTGGCATTGATAGGTGGCACTGACTGGCACTGGGTGACACTGAAAGGCAGCTCAGATGGGCACTATGTGGCATTGATGTGCACTGGTAGGCACTGATATGTGGCACTGATGTACCACTGATGGGCACTGGCACGAGGCACTGATGAGCACTGACATAAGGCACTGATGGACACTGACAGGTGGCACTGCTGGGGCTACACTGATCATCAGGGCACACTGATCATCAGTGCCCTGATGATCTGTGTACATGTCCCCTCCGCGGAAAGTCAATTACCAGCTCTCCTAACCTCTCGAGCTGTCAGCGTGACAGCTCGAAAGAAGAGAAATGCCGATAACCGGCATTTCCCTGTTTACATGTGATCAGCTGTGATTGGACACAGCTGATCACATGAGCCAACATCTTCGACTCTTTCCATGATCGGTGATCCGAGGGACACAGCGAACCACCGATCGCCACGCGCTGCGCGCTCCCTGAGCCGTGCATGCGCAGTGAGAATGGGAGGATGTCATATGACATCCTCCCAGAACGAAAGAACCACCTTGCACCTGTCATATTGCTATAGGGCGGGCGGGAGGTGGTTAAAATCAAGAATAAAACTTTAAAAGACAAAAATATGTCAGCCTTTAGGATCACATATTGTAGATGTAATGATTCCAAAGAATAATCCACATATAAATCGACACATTTCAAATGATCTTCCTCAGGAGTACATGTGAAAAGATGTGCTATTAGGAGTTACAGAATACAATAACGCCTGGAATAAACATCAAGCAAGCTATCTTCATCCTTTTCTGGAGCAGCATTGAAACAATACAGGTAGAAGGCAGCCATTTTCAAAATTTGTACAATATTCAAACTTGACAAGTATTAAAAACGTGTCTCAAATACAATGGCCTAAAAAAAAAGGCAGAAATTGGCAGCGTGCAGATAAATATTCATCACAAACAGAGAGGGAAAACTATGAGGTGATTACAAATATATGTATCAAGGTGCAAGTTGTAAACCATATTGCCACACCATAATCATCTAGGTCCAGCAGCATTACATCCAGCAGCTGTTTAGAATATCCACAAGGATCCATTGGGGACATGAGTAAGGGGAACGTTCAACACCACAGGAGGACTTATCACAAAACAAGTTGCAGTGCCAGGATTACAAACAATATAGTAAAGCAGAATTCCAGGCAATATTAAAAACAACAATTTGTTTCAGTTATTTGTCAATTTTAGTTTTCGTAGATACAACTATGCTTATATACATAAATCGTGCTTTAAATCAGCCACCTGTAATTCTCTGCATAGCAGTAGTCTGGGAAACTAAGAGAAAGAGGGGAAGCAATCACAGGCAATTAGGGCTTTGATGCTATACTGTATATACACAATACCTGTCACCCTAACACTGAACATACTTACAGAATGGATAGCACAGGGATGCCATCAACAATGTGCTGCTACATTTTCCTATGAGCAAGCTAGGAGAAAGAGAAGAGGTGACTAAAGAAGCAGGACCTTGGCAGCAATTTTTTCCTATAAGCACTTGTCAAATGCTTAGTATCATTACTAGAGGTAGAAGGTTGTCAAAGGACTTTTGCAGCTTTAATAGTAAGGTAGGACACAAACACACACAATACATATATATATATATATATTTACTTACCGGCCACTTTATTAGGTACACCATGCTAGTGCCAAGAAAAAACACCACTATATTGCCAAAACTATTGGGACGCAGTTGCCTGCCTTCACACGCACATGAACTTTAATGGCATCCCAGTCTTAGTCCGTAGGATTCAATATGGAGTTGGCACCCTCTTCGCAGCTATAACAGCTTCAACTCTTCTGGGAAGGCTGTCCACAAGGTTTAGGACTATGTCTATGGGAATGTTTGACCATTCTTCAAGAAGTGCATTTGTGAGGTCAGGCACTGATGTGGGACGAGAAGGCCTGGCTCAAAGTCTCTGCTCAAATTCATCCCAAAGGAGATCTATTGAGTTGAGGTCAGGACTCTGCACAGGCCAGTCAAGTTCCTCCACCCTAAAATGCACTCATCCATGTGTTTATAGACCTTGCGTTGTGCACTGGTGCGCAGTCATGTTGGAACAGGAAGGGGCCATCCCGAAACTGTTGCCACAAAGTAGGGAGTATGAAATTGTCCGAAATCTCTTGGTGTGCTGATGCCTTAGGAGTTCTCTTCATTGGAACTAAGGGGTCATGCCTAACCCCTGAAAACCAACCCCACACCATAATTCCCCCCCCCCCCAAACTTTACACTTGGCACAATGCAGTCAGGCAAGTATCGTTCTCCTGGCAACCTCCAAACCCAGACATGTCCATGGGATTGCCAGACAGAGAAGTGTGATTGGTCACTCCAGAGAACACTTCTTCACTGCTCTAGAGTCCAGTGGCAGTGTGCTTTACAACACTGCATCTGACACTTTGCATTGCACTTGGTGATGTAAGGCTTTGATGCAGCTGCTCGGCCATGGAAACCCATTCCATGAAGCTCTCTGCGCACTGTTGTTGTGCTAATATGAAGGCCACATAAAGTTTGGAGGTCTTTAGCTGTTGACTCTGAAGACAGTTGGCAACTTCTGCACACTGTGCGCTTCATCATGCGCTAACCCCGCTCTGTCATTTTACGTGGCCTACCACTTCGTGGCTGAGTTGCTGTTGTTCCCAGTTGCTTCCACTTTGTTATAATACCACTAACAGTTGACCGTGGAATATTTAGTAGCAAGGAAATTTCATGGATGAACTTATTGCACAGGTGACAACCTATCATGGTAGCACGCTTGAATTTACTGAGCTCCTGGGAGTGACCCATTCTTTCACAAATGTTTGTAGAAGTAGTCTGCATGCCTAGGTGCTTGATTTTATACACATGTGGCCATGGAGGTGATGGAACACCTGAATCCAATGATTTGTAGGGGTGTCCCAATACTTTGGCAATATAGTGTTTCCCACACCAAAAACACCACCACCAACCTGAACTGCCGTTGATACAAGGCAGGATGGATCCATGCTTTCATGTTATTTATGCCAGATTTTGACCCTACCATCTGAATGTCACAACAACTAGTCTGCCCGTTATTCTCTAACATTAACAAGGCATTTTTGTCCACACAACTTCCGCTCAGTGGATATTTTTCTCTTTTGTGAACCATTCTCTATAAACCCTAGAGATGGTTCAGCATTAAAATCACAGTAGATCAGCAGATTTTGGTGCCAGTCCATCTGGCACCAACAATTATGCCACGTTCAGAGTCACTTAACACCTCAGTCACACCGGGTGCAACTTGCCATGTGATTTGCCATGCCATGCGAGTTGCAAATCGCATGGCAAGTCGCACCCTATTGTCTGCACTTAAAGCGGTCATATCGGTGCAATTACGACTTGGCCAGGGCCGTACCGATTTCTAAAGTAGTGCATGCACTACTTCAGGTGCGACTTGCATAGACATCCGTGTCTTGAAAGCTGCATATGTCTTGTAAGTTGCACCTCAAGTCGAAATGACATCCGACTTTGAAATCGTGTGACTTCACTGGAAGTCACATGATTCCAAAGTCGGATCGGTGTGAATGGGGTGTAAATCCCCCTTTCTTCTGATTCTCAGTTTGAACTTTACCATGTTTGTCTTCACCACGTCTACATGCATAAATGCATTGAGTTGCTGCCATGTGATTGGCTAATTAGCAATTTGTGTTACCAAGCAATTGAACAGGTGTACCCATATATGTATAGTGACAGTGCTACGCCCTGCCATGGGGTAAAAAGAGGTTAAGACCCAGAATTCTCATCCAGGCAAGTGGAGGGGCTCCAAGGGGTTTGCCTAATTCAGAGGAAACTGTTTTCTCTTTTTCCTCATCACATGGTAAAACTCAGTTTGAGACCTGGAAACAGGAAATTTTGGAGAGATTTGAGACCAACCAGTACACCAATTGTACAGGTGTGTGCAGGGCTTTTTGTTGAAACCTGACCATAGGTCTTGGCTCCACCCCAGCAGACAGAAGAGTTTCTACCAGGAGTCAAGAGGGTTCCACCTAAGAAAGACAGGAGGGAGCCAGAGCAGCAAGGGGCTGCAAGTTATTGTATGTGCACAGAGTTGTGTATGAGGACTGTGTGTAGGAGGCAGACACAGAGCCTAAAGGGAAAGGTGTGCTGGACTGCTGCATGTGTTTTTCTTTTTATGGAAGATAAATGCTGAAAACCCCTGCAAGGGAAACTTGTTTGACTTCTGGAACTGTGTTGAACTTTCTTTTATTGTTAATAAGCAAAAAAAGCCCTTAAAAAGAAGAATTCGGCGAGTGTCCTTAATGCACAACCACTTGAAGTTCTCACAATATAATATATATATATATATATATATATATATATATATATATATATACATACACACATAGGATTTGCCAGAAAATTACTTAAAACTCTGAAACAGTTGATATACTGTATTTCTTGAGAGCAGAGTCCCTGTAGAATTAAATGGGGATAATTGTAATTTAAAATTTTGCAAATGTTAATTGTTTATCAAATGTATATTTTTAATGCACACAAATTCAATATAATATTTAGTAAAATATAAAGGATGGGGCTGTGTTGGTAAAAAATAAAAGATGAGGTTGATTGGAGTAAATGGATACCTAACACATCAAGCTGTAAAATTGTGTGTGCCCGTGAAATGGTGAAAAACTATGGTAACCAAAATTGTGCTTAAGCGATACTTTTAAAACCTTTAGAGGTCATCAATTTATGTATTTATTTATTACAGGTACTTATATAGTGCCATCAATTTACGCAGCGCTTTATATATATTGTACATTCACATCCCTGCCCTCAAAGAGCTTACAATCTAAGGTCCCTAACTTACATTCATACTAGGGCTACTGTATTTTAGACAGAAGCCAGTTAACCTGACAGCATCTGTTTGTGGGAGGAAACAGGAGCAACCAGAGGCAACCCATGCAGGCACAGGAAGAACATGCAAACTCCAGGCAGGTAGTGGCATGGTTGGGATTTGAAATGCTCACCCTAGTGCTACTATGCAGAAGTGCTAACCACTGTGAATGATGGCTCTAGAATTATTGCTCTCACTCCACCAATCATGGCGATACCTCGCCTGTGGTGCAATTGATGTTTACATAAACATGCACACTTTACATGTTATTTTGCATTCACATGTGTGCAGGGTGATGGAATAGCACATGGCTGTGCGCCTGGCATCTCAGCTGGGACTTTGACAGCTGTGAATCCCAAAATGCTCCGAGAAGAGCTGAAATGAAAGTCACACGTTGGCTGAAAAAAAATACCAAGCTCACAACCGCTGCCACAGCTGTGAGCTTGTTTAACCATTTGATGTCCATGGCTGGACAACAAGTGGTTAATAAATATTAACCTTTATAAGTACAGATGTTCACAAGTGTTGATTTCCTGGTCCCCACTACATACTGTGGTTACTGCTGGCCCCTATGTCACTAAAGCACACTAGTGATGTAGGGGGCTAGTAGATTGCCTTCTGTAAAACCAAAGTACCCAAACATGGATTGAAATAGGTCCAGTCCCTGCTGAACAAGCTGAATTTCGATCCATCTATGGGCAACTGAAGAGTTGGATCAGAGGAGTATCATAAAATCAGTGGGCCGGAGTGCAAGATCAAAAATGAGCCCTAAGAATTGAAGGGAAAAAAATGCGGCCTGCAAAGCGTGCTGCAGTGAAAAGTGGGCATGGTTTAATGTGCGCTAAATATTTGGTGGGGGTCATCTCCCACATGAGACACAGACAGAAAAAAAAAACTATCAGTGTCACATGTAGTGTGCAGCATGGAAGCAATATAACAGGAGGTAAGCGGGTACCAGCGAGAAAGGAGGATCAGCAAACCAGAGAATCAGCAGAGCTAGGGGTTACTACTGAGTGAGGGATCAGCAGAACTGGGGATTATAACTGAGCAGGGGATCAGCATAGCTGGTTGTTACTACTGAGTGGGGAACCAGCAGTGCAGTTACTATCGAGCGGGGGATTAGCAAAGCAGGGAGTTACTACTGATCCAGGGATCAGCAAACCCTGGGGGTATTCCTGAGTGGGGCATCAACAGAGCTGGGGGTACTATTGGATCTGCTAAAAAAAGTAACTAATAAGCTGGGGATCTGCTGAATGAGGGTACTACTGAGCCTACTTGGCCCCTTTAAAACAAATAGAAAATCAACACACACAGTGCATCTGCCAAGCTTCATTAAAGCTTAAAAAAAATCACTGAAGCATCACTGAACATCATTGAAGCATTAAAAACACATAAAAAGGCATATTAAGGTGGTAGGTGCTTTAATGTATGTTAAAACTGAAGCAAAGGTGTTCAAATAAGGTTAGGGTTACAAGGAGAGTTAGTGTTAGCGTACAGGAAAGGGCTAGTGTTGGTATTTATATGTAAGATTAGTGTTAGGGTTACAGGAATGAGTTGTGCTGGAGTTATAGGAAGGATTGGGTTCACAGGTAAGGCTAGAGTGAGGAATATGAGGACAGTCGGTGTTAGAGGTACTGGGAGGGTTAGCGTTAGGACTACAGGGAGGGTTAGTGTAAGGGAACAAGTAAGATTAGTTTTCGATATACAAGGGTTACGAGGAGGACTAATGTTAGTGCGGGTTACTATTGGGGTTACAGGAAAGGTTAGGGTTAAGGTAAAAGGTAAGGTGAATTTTGGAAATACAAAATGAGATGTAGTGTAACGACACAAGGAGGTTGGGGTTATGGTAACAGGAACGTTTACAGTTTGGATTGCAGGGAGAGTTAGTGTTACAGGGAGAGCAGATGTTAGAGTTACAGCGAAAACTGCCAGGAGCTCTGTAGAGAAACTATCAGCACTGATGGCAAATCACCAAAATATAATGTCCTGCTAGAGGAGGACTCCAACATGGGTAATTGTTGGAGGCATTCCCAGCTTTCACTATTGGCTGATTAAATAAAAAGGTTCAATGTTGTGTCCCCCTTAACAAATTTGAGAATCTCCTTAACTTTGTGTTCTTTTTTTATAAACGTAGACTCAGTAAAAAATGTTAGATTCATTTCAGCTTCAAACTAAAAATAATGATTTTCCGAATGAATATTCAAGGAATGTAAAATGTATTAAAAGACATTTTTTACCATTCAGAGTCTAATAAAATATAATTGATTTAATCTGAAAGCATAAATGATGCTGAATCACTTTATCGTTAAAAATGAGCTGGGTTGAAGATGCATGCCTAAATCTAGCAAAGGCGCAGTTAAATATAATGGATTACCAAAGAGAAGATGCATTTCTCCTACACACAACTTTACACCAAATGTTGCGTGTGTTTTACATATCAATTTTTTATTTAGTTCTGTTTTTAACATTGAGAATTTAACTTTAAACTTCATACTGTTATATTCAGCAAATACAAATGCACTTAATATTGTATTAGGTGGTACATTTGGTATTGTACTTTAATGCAATTATACAAATCTCATGTGGCAGGTGAAGAAAATTACAAGTGAACTTGTCAGCCACTTCAAACTTACAAAAGTAATAATCTTGCCTAAGTAGCTAGTCTGCTATAAAAAGTACTAACTAGAAAAAAAAACATCTCTTTTTCTGTGCAGCTCTCTGATTAATTTTTTTCTCTATTGTAAACTTGACTTGTAGGCTAAGACCTGCCTAACTGCCTGCGCCACTTGCAATAAGTGGCTCTTAATGGCCATCAAGATATTCTTGTTGAACAGGAGTTTAGCCATTGAGAAGGGAGGGAAGTCAAGCTCCTGGAAACAAAGGGAAACTAAAACAGAGGGACTCAGAGTAGGTTTTTTTGGCTGACAATCCAGGAACCTCGTGGAATATGACTTACAGCAGGACTTATAAACCTTACACAACATTTAGGCTCCTGCACATCTTCCTTCTCCTCTCTATCCTGATATTGCTAAATAACTATGCTGGATTAATAACCTTTCTTCTTT